CGTGATATACAGAAATCGTTATTTTTTTAAAGAGAAAGAGACTAGAAAGGTTGCCCGTGGGCGATGCCACGGGTGCCGGAAGTTGCTGTAAGGGGATCTGGGGTGAGAGGTGTGGGTCTTTGAAGGGTGTTTGAAGGGTCTTTGAAGAAGACTCGTTTAAAGATACGGGTGCCACTTGCCTATTACCTTTTTCCTTTTTCAAGTGTAGTGTGACTGTAAATTTTTCACAACTACCTGTGGCCAATGGCACGCTTGGGGAATGTAGAGCTCATACCTGTCGAGTTTCCTGTTGTGCCATAAAGAATAATATCCCTGGTCCCAGCTGGGCCCAGCTGACCTCCCTTATTAGATAGTCATCTTAGTAGCTGAGGAGCCATCCCCCTGGCCTTGTTAGTATTCATTATTCTCTCGGGTCACCCTCACTCGCAGTATATTCAAGATATCCTTGACTGCCCTTTGCTCTACATCACGCCAGAGGATTTCTTGCTTTTTAGTAGGCTTGCGAAAAGGCTCGTTCACAGCATACTGGCGCTTTGCGCTAGATGGCCCAGACGGCCACGCTCCAGCGGTCGCTTCCTTTTGCCGCAGGCGGCAATAGGGATCTGACAGCTACAGCTTTGCCCTTACGAAGTACTGGGGCTTTGCGCAAGAAAGTTTCTCTGGTTCGGGCTACGCCCTCATATCCTCTTGTCCCGTGCCCGTACGCTCGCTGCGCTCACAGGATACTGGCGCGCTTTGCGCAAGATACTCTTAATGGCCTTGCCCGTGACCATCGCTCGCTTCGCTTACAAAGTACGGGTGCTTGGCGCAAAAAAGGTCCTCTGGTTCGGGCTACGCCCTCACATCATCTTCTCCCTTTCGTACCCGTGCGGTCACAACATACTGGCGCTTCGCGCAAGATACTTTCGATTGTCTCGCCAGGGCGCGCGCCCGTGACCATTGCTCGCTGCGCTCACATCCTCTTCAAAGCCCCTTGATTCGGGCTACGCCCTCATATCCTCTTAGCCCGTGCCCGTACGCTCGCTGCGCTCACAGGACACTGGCGCGCTTCGCGCAAGATACTCTTGATGGCCTTGCCCGTGACCATCGCTCGCTTCGCTCACAAAATACTGGCGCTTCGCGCAAGACACAGGCGTTTCGCGCTGGCGCTACGCGCAAGATACTGGTGAGGGCCACGGCCCTCACAACATTTTTAGTTCGGGCTCCGCCCTCACGTGATATACAGAAATCGTTATTTTTTTAAAGAGAAAGAGATACTAGAAAGGTTGCCCGTGGGCGATGCCACGGGTGCCGGAAGTTGCTGTAAGGGGATCTGGGGTGAGGGGTGTGGGTCTTTGAAGGGTCTTTGAAGGGTCTTTGAAGAAGACTCGTTTAAAGATACAGGTGCCACTTGCCTATTACCTTTTTCCTTTTTCAAGTGTAATGTGACTGTAAATTTTTCACAACTACCTGTGGCAATGGTATGCTTGGGGAATGTAGAGCTCATACCTGCGGAGTTTCCTGTTGTGCCATAAAGAATAATATCCCTGGTCCCAGCTGGGCCCAGCTGACGTCCCTTATTAGATAGTCATCTTAGTAGCTGGGGAGCCATCCCTCTGGCCTTGTTTGTATTTATTATTCTCTCGGGTCACCCTCACTCGCAGTATATTCAAGATATCCTTGACTGCCCTTTGCTCTACATCACGCCAGAGGATTTCTTGCTTTTTAGTAGGCTTGCGAAAAGGGTCGTTCACAGCATACTGGCGCTTCGCGCTAGATGGCCCAGACGGCCACGCTCCAGCGGTCGCTTCCTTTTGCCGCAGGCGGCAACAGGTATCTGACAGCTACAGCTTTGCCCTTACGAAGTACTGGGGCTTTGCGCAAGAAAGTTTCTCTGGTTCGGGCTACGCCCTCACATCCTCTTCAAAGCCCCTTGATTTGGGCTACGCCCTCATATCCTCTTAGCCCGTGCCCGTACGCTCGCTGCGCTCACAGGATACTGGCGCTTCGAGGAAGATACTTTCGATTGTCGCGCCAGGGCGCGCGCCCGTGACCATTGCTCGCTGCGCTCACATCCTCTTCAAAGCCCCTTGATTCGGGCTACGCCCTCATATCCTCTTGTCCTGTGCCCGTACGCTCGCTGCGCTCACAGGACACTGGCGCGCTTCGCGCAAGATACTCTTGATGGCCTTGCCCGTGACCATCGCTCGCTTCGCTCACAAAATACTGGCGCTTCGCGCTGGCGCTACGCGCAAGATACTTTTTTTAGTTCGGGCTCCGCCCTCACGTGATTTAACTAAAAATCAAGTTTTTTTTAAGAAGATAGATGAAGATAGGGTAGAATAACTGGCTTGTGGCAGCCAAGCGTTCATAGCGACGTTGCTTTTTGATCCTTCGATGTCGGCTCTTCCTATCATACTGAAGCAGAATTCAGTAAGCGTTGGATTGTTCACCCACTAATAGGGAACGTGAGCTGGGTTTAGACCGTCGTGAGACAGGTTAGTTTTACCCTACTGATGAAATGTTGTTGCAATAGTAATTGAACTTAGTACGAGAGGAACCGTTCATTCGGATAATTGGTATTTGGGCCTGCCTGAGCAGGCAATGGCCCGAAGCTATCATCCGTTGGGTTATGGCTGAACGCCTCTAAGTCAGAACCCGTGCTAGAACGCGACGATTACCGCCTTGTGCCATTTTTAGTTGAATACGAATAGACCTACGGTCCTGAATCTTACGAACGTGGGGTTATCTTGCAGAGCGGAAAGGCTTTGTGAGGTTCCCACTAATGTTAATTTCAAATATAGCACGAGATAAATCCATTGCAGACGACTTTAATTGAACGGGGTATTGTAAGCAGTAGAGTAGCCTTGTTGCTACGATCTGCTGAGATTAAGCCCATTGTTCTATAGATTTGTTCGAAAGAACAACATCTCTCTCTCTTTTTTTTTTTTCTTTTTTCTTTCTTTCAGGCAGTTTAGTTAAGGGCATCTTAACATATGCCCTGGCGGCTGGGTTAGCGGATGGCGACCCTAGCCTGAAGACAAGAAAAGGAAAAAATGGCAGCCGCTTTGCCAGTTAATACTGACGCGGCAAGTATCTAAACGTTTAAGCAACGTGGTATTTTAAGTAGGAGAGTAGCCTTGATGCTACGATCTACTGAGATTAAGCCCATTGTTCTATAGATTTGTTCGAAATAACAAATATCTCTATTTCTTTTTTACTTTAGTATTGTTACAAAAATATGTGGTGGCTAGGCAGTGGCGGCGATGCCTTAGATTAGCAGTCATTCCCTAGTAGACTAGTATTAGTAGTGCGCCGAACTCTTTCGTCTGCTCCTTGTCCTTTTACACAGAACTTCTTGGACGAGAGCAGAATTGATAAGAGTTTCGCTGGCGCTCTGCAGGTACTTAACCCCCTTCCCCCATCGATATTATGAATACAAGGTCCTTTTACACAGAACTTCTTAGACGAGAGCAGAATTGATAAGAGTTTCGCTGGCGCTCTGCAGTTTCGTATTCTTTAGGACCCTATTATCGCTACACGACTACAACCCCCTCCCCCCCGTACCAATTGAGGACTTGACAGCGGTCCTATAACTCTGGCCACGACCCTCTCCCCTGAGTAACAGTCTTTCAGGCGCGGGTTAAGGGCCGTTCAACATATATCCTGGTTGACCGAGATCATGACTGAGTTGATTTATATAGATGTTGTCCTCCATTCTCTTATTTTTTTTTCAGGACTCGTTTAACGGCTGTGTGACGATATGTAACCAGTAATCAAACATGCTTTTAGTACAGCATTCGCGAATGGAAGAAGATTTTCCTTCTTTCTTATTGTAAATCCTGTGAATTGTGTAGCACTCGCGATGGAAAGAAGATTTTTAACTGGCTTGTGGCAGCCAAGCGTTCATAGCGACGTTGCTTTTTGATCCTTCGATGTCGGCTCTTTCAATCCTTGCTTCATTAGAATTCCAGGTCGCGTTGTTGATGATTTGTTCACATGCGCTAATTCTTGAAGTATTTAGGGGGCGTATCTTATTTGCGATTTGCATTTAAGGGCCTGAACAGATGCAGTATGTGCTACGCGCGCCAGAATGTGGGCTGTGCATTCCCTACAAGGTCCAGCCAAGCCACTTAAGAATTGCCAAAATGACATGTCATTGCTGATCTTCAAAAGGCAAGGTATTGTTACTCAGGGGAGAGGGTCGAAGGCCAGAGTTGTAGGACCGCTGTTAAGTCCTCAATTGGTACGGGGGGGGAAGGGGTTGTAGTTGGGGTAGTGATAATAAAGTCCTAAAGAACCACACGAACGATACACTGCAGGGCGCCAGCGAAACTCTTGTCAATACTGCTCTCGTCCAAGAAGTGATGTGTAAAAGGACAAAGAGCAGACGAAAGAGCTCGGCGCACTACTAATACTAGTCTACTAGGGAATATGACTGCTAATCTAAGGCATCGCCGCCACTGCCTAGCCACCACATCTTTTTGTAACAGTATGAAAAACTTGTTTACTTAAGGGGATGCGGTTAGGTCGTCGATCGAGTGATCGGGTGGTCAAGGGTGATCAAATGGTCAAGTGTTTAAGTGTTGCGGTACGGGTTTATTTTTAATTTACCCCTTTTTTTATTTAATGAAGTACACCATGTGGTAAAAACCAAACCTTGGTAAAAAGGTCACCACCTGAGCGGCTTGCATTAGGCATATTATCCCCTCTACGGTGCGAAATAAAAGATCCCTCTCTTTCTTCCCATTGACCACTCGAACATATACATACCCCTGTCTGTTCACAAGGATGTTAAATGTATGTCAAAGGAGGAGTCGCGCATGTAGAAGGATAATGGTTCAACCTTTCCTACCAATACAATAGGAATGATTGAAATGAGTTGTTTTATTAATAAAGCTGCTGTCAGGTTATTTATGTTTGCGGGAAAGTGGCCGAGCTATCTTATTGCAAGTTTCGAGTGGAAATAAAGGATGAATAACAAGAAAAGGGTCGCTGGTTTGAAAAATGGACGCAAGTTATTAAGAGAAGACTATAAATTAAAGGTAATGCAGCAGAAGAATAGATAAGTTTCTGTCCAGCTCATATACTTTTCCCATACACTCACACACACACACTCTCTCTTTACCTTGATACAATAGTCCTTCGTCGTCTACGTAACCTATTCTTGTCTAGGGGGAATGAGATCAAATCCCTCTCTACCATAGATTTTAACGTGCGGCAAATGGGGAAGAATATTCTTTGCACATTCAAGATCTCCCTCCTCTGTAGTATACGTATACCCTGCCTTCATTAATACTTTTCCGTCCGTCTCGAGCAAACCATTGTCCCCGTCTTTTTGAAAGACCGATAGGGCTATAGGGGCCTCAACTAGCACATTCCGAGCACCATGCGGTGGTAAGAGTATTAGAGTCTCGAGGTACTTCACATATATGGGCTTCTTTCCAATGACGACAGCCAAGCCCGCGCTCTCTCGACCAACATTGATTTTCCCTTCCAAATGATCGACGATGGCACGCAAGAGCTCCTGAGTGCACAGGAATAGAGTATGTCGACTTGTGTTGTTCACCAACTTCATCATGTGGCGGTCTGCAAAAAACCAGCGGATTAGCTTGGGATGTGTCGGAAATACATTGGCCATGAGCGGAGGCTGCTTAGGAGGCTTCTTAGGTTCCACAGGCACGAGAGGTGGAAAGAATGAGGGGTCCCTGTCGATCTCGTCCATCTTGACCTTGGTATTCTTGATAGTCTCGAGCATTCTTTGCGCGACCGTCCTGATGTCGTCATCGTCATGATCCTCGCTTGGCTTAATCACGATGTCATCGTTGACAAGGCCCATGTCGTCGATTAGCCGTTGTAGATCTAGGGTAGCAGGTTCTTGCATGGTAACTGATAATGCTTGGTATTTAATATTAGGCTCATATGTTAATAGTAACTGAAGACATGCAGCCAAGTCGCGTATCTCATACCGTTTGAAGAATGCAGCGAGACTATTTGCAGGGTGGCGCGACGGTGCGTAAAATGGTTTTTGTAGTGGTAGAGAGTTCCAAGAAGTAATGTAGTTTGAATACTTGCAAATGGATTGATCGATTCTTGCTGTAGCCCGAAATTGCGACTCCTTTATATATGCAACGGAGATCATCATCCAGAGTTGATTTAATTCAATTGAGAGCGTTCGAAACCGGACCGCCTGGTCTCTTGAAAAAAAAAACGGTTTAAGGGCCTCGTCTTGCATATTTAAGACATCACCCAAATGACACAAGCTCCTTGAAAGATAGGAAGAATGTAAACAAGAAAAGCCAAAGCATATATCTCCCAAGTTCATCAAATGTCAGCTCGCCTTCTGAAATAACATGCATAATGCACCGAATGTCAGCCGACAACCTGAGACAAAATGCGGGCATTTATGCATGATATCATAAACACCCACATATACTTCTAAATGAAGCTCACTAGGGCAAGTATGTCATTCATCGTCAAGGTCAAGACGGTAATGCGTACTACCACGATAACTGGCTTGTGGCAGCCAAGCGTTCATAGCGACGTTGCTTTTTGATCCTTCGATGTCAGCTCTTCCTATCATACTGAAGCAGAATTCAGTAAGCGTTGGATTGTTCACCCACTAATAGGGAACGTGAGCTGGGTTTAGACCGTCGTGAGACAGGTTAGTTTTACCCTACTGATGAAATGTTGTTGCAATAGTAATTGAACTTAGTACGAGAGGAACCGTTCATTTGGATAATTGGTATTTGGGCCTGCCTGAGCAGGCAATGGCCCGAAGCTATCATCCGTTGGGTTATGGCTGAACGCCTCTAAGTCAGAACCCGTGCTAGAACGCGACGATTACCGCCTTGGCCATTTTTAGTTGAATACGAATAGACCTACGGTCCTGAATCATACTACGTGGGGTTATCTTGCAGAGCGGAAAGGCTTTGTGACATTCCCACTAATGTTAATTTCAAATATAGCACGAGATAAATCCATTGCAGGCGACTTTAATTGAACGGGGTATTGTAAGCAGTAGAGTAGCCTTGTTGCTACGATCTGCTGAGATTAAGCCCATTGTTCTATAGATTTGTTCGAAAGAACAACATCTCTCATTCTTTTTCACTTTTTCTGTCTCTGGAGCTTAAGGGGTATGATAGATATTGTTACTCAGGGGAGGGTCGAAGGCCAGAGTTGTAGGACCGCTGTTAAGTCCTCAATTGGTACGGGGGAAGGAGTTGTAGGTTGAAGGGGGGTTGATAGTCGGGGGTAGTGATAATAGCGTCCTAAAGAATCATACGAAACGATACACTACAGCGCGCCAGCGAAACTCTTGTCAATACTGCTCTCGTCCAAGAAGTGATGTGTAAAAGGACAAAGAGCAGACAAGAGGGCTCGGCGCACTAGTAATACTATGTCTACTAAAGAATATGACTGCTAATCTAAGGCGTCGCCGCCGCTGCCTAGCCACCACATCTTTTTTTGCAACAGTAACCACACACCATTAAAATTGCATCTTACCGCTAATTCAGTGGCCAAGCATGCTCAAATGTTGAAACTACCCTACTGAATCGACTTTGCAGCGGTATTCAAGCTCTCACAGTTTAACCTCTAGGATTCTTTTGTTTTATTTGTTTTTATCATGTTCCTCAATTCTCAACTGCACACACAATTCTGGTTGCATTTCTTTTTTCTTTTTTTTTTTTTGGAATGACGGCAGCGGTAGAAGGCGGGGCAGTGATAGAAGGCGCGGCAGTGATAGAAGGCGGTGATGGTGGCGATGCTGTTAAGGTAATTTCGTTGGATCCATTAAAGACGATGCGGTCAGGGGTGTTGCCTTGGCGCTCAATTCTGGTGGCACTTTCGGTGAGTATCTTAAAGATATCCTCGACAGTCACCCTTATGTTGCGCCTTATACCGATGCTTAGGTACAGGGCCGCAACACCGGTAACGTGAGATGCAGCCATAGAAGTGCCGGACATGACACTTGAGGCGTTTCTGTGGTCGGTACCGACAGACGTGATTCCGACACCGGGAGCAAAAATATTGATACCTGGACCCATCGAGTTCTGGGGAGCAGGACTGTCCCACATATCCATGGAGGCGACCGTGTAGGCATGAGGCGCACCTGATGGAGAGATATCCTGGATTTGCTTGTGGGAATTGTTCCCAGCGGCTACAATTGATGGGATGCCATTCGTATAGAGAGCCATGACCATAGAGTCTATTTCGTCGGATTGATCACCCTCGAAAGAAAGGTTAACCAAAGCGTATCCACTCGAAGCATTGCGAGCCACCCAGTGCATGGCGGCAACGGCTCCCGTCTCCGTTCCATAGCCATAGCAATCTAAAATCTTGACACTGACAATATTCACGCGCTTGGCAACACCATGGCTGGCACTTCCAATGATTCCTGCGACGTGTGTACCATGACCACACCTATCGGCGTGAATGCCGGGCTCAGTAAAAAACATTCCACAACACGTAGCTCGGCCCCCGAAGTCAGCGTGATCCGTGTAGACACCGGAGTCGAGCACATAAACCGTGACACCGTGACCAGCATCGTCCGGATAGCGGTAGTGATAGGGCATCCTCAGAATGGACGATCTCTCGCAGATGCGGTTGAGACCCCAAGAAGAAACAAAACCATCCTGGGTGGCACAACTCTTGATGTAATGATCCTGCTTGATATTGGCGACCTCCGAAGCGGACTTGATCCGAAGGAACATGGCTGAGCTGAGCTTGGCATGGAAGCATGGGTATGGGATGAGCTCATAATCCTCGCAGATCTCGCTGACGTCGGAGCCATTTTGTAAGTTGCGACGAATATTCTCAAACGTGGGCTTGAATGACTCGACAGTGTAACCCTCCTTGAGCGTCACGACATAGGAACCAGGTACGGCTGCCATTCTTTCTCCAGAACCTGTTTGTCTCCTTCGGGCGGCGCTCTCTTTCAATCTATCCTCGAGCTCCTTTTGTCTACTGATGGCGAGCCTCTGTACCTCTGCAGTGTCGAGCAGCTTTACTTCCATGAAGTCGCGAGGGGGGGGGGAAGTGCCATCCTGCGGGGGAGGACAGGGGGAGACGGTACTGCCGAATTGTCGAGAATTGCTGGTCACCTCCAAAGTAGAGGACTGGGCAGAATGGCTGGGAACAATATATCGTCGAACATCGCTGATCGCTCCGTAAGGTCTGAGCTCTCTGTGGGCATCTGCAACCTGGGCTTGACCCACATCTGCAACCTCTGGTCCGCCACCTCCTCCTGGTCCAAATAGCCCCCCACCTCCACCAAGATATGTTGCCATGTTTGACGCCGCCGCTGCGCCTCCCGCAACGAACGTGTCGGAGAGGTAGTGCATATTTAACAAATGTCCTATTCCAGCTTTGTTGATGTAAATTTTGCCATCATATCGGTTTCCTGGCAGCACCTCCGGTTGATATGCTAAGATGCCCGTCTGTGTGGCGTAGTCGCGCTCATTTACAAAGTGCTCAATGTGGGCGAAGTCGCCTTGACCGTGCATATGATTCGCCCAGCTTGCAAACGTATACAACTCCAACTTCCTGAGGTTGGTCGCCTTTTCGGAAGCAATAAGACGGTCAACTACCAAACTGGCGATAATACAACCCTATGGTATAGTGGAAAGAAGTTAAACATCATGAACAATAACTCCAGAGCTCCACACTACGCTTCACCAACAGACCTACTTCCGGATATAGTCTGACACATACCTGTGAATGTGCGATAAGCACCACCCTGAGATTGTTAGGGTCACGGAGCTCACGCTGCACGATGGCGTAAAGTTGTCTGGCGGGTTGTGTGGTGTACCCGAAAGATTTCTGAATAAGGCACTCAAAAAGATCGAGTATGAAACCGAACGTACGATTGTTGATCCCCACGATCCTGCGCTCGAACATGCCTGCCAATACTTCACAGTTCAGTTTCAGCCATGTCTGTCCGGTACAGATTCCGTTGCAAAATAGCCAACTCTCATGTGGAAACACGGTGCCACCCATGCTCGTATACATTAGGGGTCTCGTCGCCAAGTACCAGGCAATCGCAACTATGATGGCGCCAATCACGACAGCGGCGATTCCATGTGGAGGAAGGAGTCCCAAGAGACCAAAAAACGAGACATAGCCTACAAAGGCAATGACCACCAAGGCGTAAAAAACCAGGAAGAACTGCCAGAGAAGGGCCACGACGTTTCTCCAGGAGTAGAAGTAAAGTTCGTGAGTTGAATTGGTACCAAAGTAGGGCCAGAGGAGTAATAGGATAAGGGGCGAATGGAGGATTAGAAGGAGGACATCCGAGAATGCCAGAAGCCAGGGAGAGGCGATGAAAGGAAGGGCGCGGCTCCATGGGGCAGCGAAGGGACGTGTCGTGAGTAAGGCTAGCAAATTGTTCATTTTTTGAAGTGAAAGCGCAGGACTGATTGAAGAGCGGATTAGCTGCCATCAACTCAGTTTATATACGCGTGCACTTGGTTGCCAGGGTATATAGTAGAGTATTCTTGCCGCTGGAGTGTGTTTCCAGTGGCGTGCTGAGCGATACATTAATGGCTAGTGCCATATATTTCTTCGAAGGTCTTTTAGTCAGAATAGGAGAAGCTTAACTAGTTCTAAACTGTCTATCAAAATTGTGTGTGTGTGAGTGAGTGCAGTTGTAGATAAAAATACACTTCTCTGTTTGATGGCTAAGTATGTTGAAAACAAATTGGCGTTGTGTTCTATTTGAAATTCATTTTGCCTGTTAGCTTTTCAAATACCAGTTCGCAGTACGGGCCACCTCTGAATCACACATAGAGTACGGCTGATCTTATAGCCCAATCACATGCAGTTACTTAAAATATCGCACTTACTTTAAGGCCTGGCCAATGCACGGACCTAAAGTTTTTTTTGTTCCACCGTACCGTAGCTTCTCTTCATACGCTTCTTTTTGCCCAGGCATAAATACACCGCCACCTGGAGTGTGCTTCAACTACGTCCTAGTCTGGACCTGGAACCGGGCCTCGACTCAGCTGCGTAGGATTGGACGCACTTTTTGAGTATTCACCGCGCCACCCCTTGCTCGGAGATTTTGTCGATCCATCTGTATTTCCGCGAGTCATTTTTGCCATTGGACTGTGCTCTATCAATGTTTGGCATATTTGCTCGTGGCCAATATAACCCAATGCAATTTATAGGTTGGATAGAGAAAACCAGTTCATAGTCAACGCCCAGCTAATGTATGCACATGCAAGCCTGAGCCTTTTTAAAGCTAAATGGTACCCCTATCACATGCATTCAGTTCAAGATGTCGCGCTTAATTTAGCACCTGGTTAGTGTACAAAGCTGAATTTTTTTGTTTCACCGTAGCTCTTCCTCACGCGCGCCTTTTCTATCTGGGCATAAATACACCCCCACCTGAAGAATACTTCAACTACGACCTAACCTGAACTTGGAACCGGGCCTCGACTCAATTGAACTGCGCTGCGACGATCTGACAGGACTCGGGAAAGGGTGTATGCTTTTGATATGGTTTTATTGTAGAAGAAAGACAGGGAGAAGAAGAGTGTGCAGGGAGCAGGGGCAGGAAACAGGTGGGATATAAGTGGATTGCAGACTGAGGGACAAGACAGGGGAACAGGGGGTCTATTATGCTAGGAACCGGAGGGACAGAAAAGGGTTGAGACGGGAACTGGGAACTGGGCTGGGAACTGAAGGCAATTGGGCAGAGGGATGAGATAGAGAGAAGGTAAACTCTGGTGCTAGGCAAATATACTCTTTACGGAGGTTAACCTATATTCCAATGTAGCTTGTAGAACGGGTACATAGCTCGTAGAAATGGATATTTCATTCAGAGAGTACCCCTAGAAGGTATCCGCGCCGGTAGTGATAGGAACCTAGTTGGTGGAGGAGATCACGTGACGAATCCAAAATCCAACTACGCGTTCAACATCACATAGGCGGAAACAAGACATGACAGAAACAGGGGACCGGGGGCCGGGAGCCGGTCCTGGGATAAAACGTAACACTTAGGGCAAAACATGGCATGCGCAAGACTTTTGACCACGCGTCCATCATTACTTGCTCCCAAGGTTTTTGTGAAGAGGAAAAAGACCGTTTAGATCACATGGCTCGATGACAAATCACATGCTTGTGGCAGCCAAGCGTTCATAGCGACGTTGCTTTTTGATCCTTCGATGTCGGCTCTTTCTCTCCTCCCTCATTATCATTCGAGGTCGCGTCGTCGATGCTTTGTTCATTACCACTAGTTTTGGTCTTTAAGGGGTTGGCTGTGATTACGTAAACGCGGTACCTGAATGTGGTCTGTGCTCACGCGCGTTGGGTGACGTGATAGTTGGATTGTGTTTATTTTGCTATTAAGGGGCTTTTGGTTTGCCACCGAGACGTCACCACCATATTACGTGGGAATTTTTCTCTTCAACAACCTCTTCACTCCTACCACAACCATGTCATATAGTCACAATCCCGCCTGTCCAATGCACCCTATCCGATATCCCGAATTCCTCTTTCGAGTCATTAGAGCGTATGATGTTGTCCCTGAGACTGGATTCCAGTGTGGCGATCATGCAGCGGGACTAACGTTCGAGCAGCATATCCGAAAAGGCTTTAACAACAAAGTCAAATCTCAGTTTATCTCGACGACCAAGTCCTCAAGTACCGCCATCTCCTGGACGGTCAACGAAAAATGCGCCTTTGCTATTATTTCCTGCCGAGCTCTAAACCAACACATCCGTGTATACGATCTGAGTGGGGATTGCTCTCGAACTCTCACCCCCTGGGAAATCTTACTCACGCCACATATCAACGAGGAGGCGATCGTTGGTATTGTGCCGTACAGTAGTCATGAGTCGCAGCATGCTATGTACTCCTGTATACGGCATTTGCTGAGTCTGGTGTGTGTATACTGTTGCAGGCGAGGACACGATGTCGACAAAGTCGGTTATTGTACTGTAAGCAGCTCGAAATGGACAACGCAGTGGACGTATACTATTCCACTCGCTGTGGATATTGCCGTGAGCTCGGGCATGATGTCGACAAAGGCGATTGTTGTGAGCAGCTCGAAATGGACAATGCGATTGATGAATATTGCCGTGAGCCCGGGCATAATGTTGACAAAGGCGATTGGTGTGAGGAGTTCGACTTCGACAGTGCGGTGGTGGACTTCGACTCACTGAATGTATCGTAGAGAGCAGGAACCCCAAAGAAGAGTATCAGTTATTCATAAAGCTATTCCTTATAACTGGGTTGTGGCAGCCAAGCATTCATAGCGACATTACTTTTTGAGGTCGCGTTGTCGATTGCATTTGTTCACTACCAATACCGTGATTAACTTTCTCTTACTTAAGGGCTATCATCAGTAGTCTGTCATCCATCCATGGCTAGTCAGGCGCAGATTAGATGGTTATGACAAATATTCAGATAAGTGACGTTAACATATTCTTTAATTTGTGTATTCTTTTTGTGCCTTGTGTAGTGCTCGCTGCTGCACCCGCTGCTTGGAAGGGCTGCAAGATACTTGGGTAGGTGGTTTTGGAGGGGTGAAGGATGTGTGGGTAAGCATCTTTCTTGCTGCCTTCGTCAATTTAATGACTTCCGCGTCCGTCAGCTTTCTCATTTCCGACCGCTTAATGACCTGCTCTTTTACCGCCATGGAGAATCTAAGGCACATTTCAAAGCACTCCTTCAAATTTTTAACATTATTCGCCGCCAACACGATTTTGAACGATCCAAGGCAGTATGTCCTGTACATTCCATGATAGTCCATGGCAATCAGCTCTGTCGTGTCCTTGAATGTCCGCGATCCGAAGACTTTCAAGTTTGGCTTTACCCGGTCCTTGTTTTTTGTCATCTCCAAGATGGTGAAGTTGAAAAGATCACGGAGCATCCTTTTCAACTTCATTTTGTCGTCCTGATCCTTAGACGCGGGTGCCCGGTGCAATTTGCTGCTTTCAGACAGCAAAATCTGGTGACCTTCTGACTCAGAGACTCCATCAGCAAACTTTCCACGTCCTGTAGCATCAGCATCATTAGCCTTGCGGTATGAGACTGCGGGCACATAAATCTCGCCCCACATGTAGGGAATGCCGTGAAGGGATAGTGCGCCTCGAAGCAGCTCTACGACATAGTCTCGAAAGTAGTGACGCTCGTTTATATCTTGGCTGATGGTCCCGTTGTACATGAAGGCAGTGCGCCTAAAGTCAGTAAGTAGTATCTGTTAGTACTGTATCAATTTTAAAAAAGGCGCTATGTTAAAGAAATGTATACTTACAGTGGCTGGAATGCTGTGAAGATATACCGGTTCAGAGCTGGTACAGGGTTGGGAACCTTCATGAGATCATCTATCCTCTCCGACAGCCCTTCCATGGTTATCTTGCCTTCGAACAGACTATCCAACATGTCTTGCTGGTCCTGAGGTAGGTTCGGCAAGGTCGGTAAGGCATCCACAGCCGTTGAGAATCCCATATCATCCATGAAATCCTGCAGCTCGCCGCTGTGGCAAAAATCCGCAATATTGTCTTTGCAAAGGCTCATTAATGGGAATGATTCTTGAATGGACGACTTCGCTCGCTCGAAACTGGATGACACATTTACATCCTCTATTAGCCAGACAGATGGCATGCCGATCATGTCCCAAAACAGTGAACCTAATCGAATGATTGTTAGCTACTGGGGAAATACACACAATTATGAATTGCTCAAATTAAATGTTATATACCTTCAATGCTAAGACCTCCATCAAGATCCGGCATAAGAGGCGGCGGGGTACTGCTGCGATGGGCGGCTGAAGAAGCAAGTGTTGAGGATATGGCTGACGAATAGTACAAAAAAGAATGTTAGGGTCGTTTGAAAGTAGGGCCAAATATGTACGAGGTTACACTCCATGAACTGAAGGCAAACATACCTGTGGTCGTTGGGATTTCCCCGTCATCGTCTGCGATATAGTATGCGTCCTTAGTTGGCGTCACTAGAGGCTTCTCAATGCCATCGTCATCATCACGTCGATGCTTCCTGTCAACTAGCAAATGGAACGGCAATAGAACTTAAAAATTAATGGAGATGAACGCATATACTCGAATTAAGTGGAACAGTAAGTTAATGCGACACAATATGTCGACTAGTTATCATTTATCACTTACGTAACTTCCTCTTTTTAGAGGTGGTGCCTTTCAGAGGACCGTAAGTGGCCGATGAGAATCCAGCCTGCAATTCAGTGAGCACGATTGTTTGCTTTTCCGCTTCTCGTCGAATCACAATAACACTCAAGGCCTTCCTCTGAAGTATAAGGCCAGCTTCAGTTTTGAGAAATGATATCCAGCTTCTTGCATAGGCACTAGGCGGCGAGCGGATTTTACCCACGATCTCGAGACCGGTGACAAAAACAGCCAGACTTTCCACACGTCTCTTTGAGACGAATTCCATAGGGTGCCAACTTTGAGGGTGAGTATTCTTGAAGTAATCGTCAATATCAAGTTGGCTCAGAACGTCGGGGTTATAACTGCCCTTGAAGGTTGGTTCTTCTATGAGTTGTGGCATAATTGAGGCGAATTCGGAGTTCCCAGACAATGCACTTTCCATCTTGGAGATCCTATCAAATATGAATTTTTCCTGTTAAAAGGCTGGTCCATCTGAACGAGATAATGAATAAAGAGATAAGAGGGCCACCACTGTTCAGTGAATGTACACTAAAGAACAACACCTTTCTCCATCATAATTAAAGTGAAAGGAACGGTGGAAGTTGAGGCCGTAACTGAATTGAAAGAAGCGGTGAAAAAGGGGATAATGGATGCAAAGCAAAAGATTCCCACCGGTCGCCAAACAAGGGTGCCTGCATGGGGTACTCTACCTTGGATCGCCAGCACAATTGCAACGACGACCCTATGATTGAACTGCTACACAATCACAATTGAATGTGCACAAAGGAAACAACACCTTTCTTCAATCATAATTAAAGTGAAAGAAACGGTGGAAGTTGAGGCCGCAACTGAATTGAAAGAAGCGGTGAAAAAGGGGATAATGGATGCAAAGCAAAAGATTCCCACCGGTCGCCAAACAAGGGTGCCTGCATGGGGTACTCTACCTTGGATCGCCAGCACAATTGCAACGACGACCCTATGATTGAACTGCTACACAATCACAATTGAATGTGCACAAAGGAAACAACACCTTTCTTCAATCATAATTAAAGTGAAAGAAACGGTGGAAGTTGAGGCCGCAACTGAATTGAAAGAAGCGGTGAAAAAGGGGATAATGGATGCAAAGCAAAAGATTCCCACCGGTCGCCAAACAAGGGTGCCTGCATGGGGTACTCTACCTTGGATCGCCAGCACAATTGCAACGACGACCCTATGATTGAACTGCTACACAATCACAATTGAATGTGCACAAAGGAAACAACACCTTTCTTCAATCATAATTAAAGTGAAAGAAACGGTGGAAGTTGAGGCCGCAACTGAATTGAAAGAAGCGGTGAAAAAGGGGATAATGGATGCAAAGCAAAAGATTCCCACCGGTCGCCAAACAAGGGTGCCTGCATGGGGTGCTGTATCTTGGACTGCTCTCCATTCAAACGCGAATAGGGAGAAAGCAGTTCACGCATTCGTACCTTATCCGCAATCCAGCTTTAGCGCCACCGAAAAGAGAGAGAGAGAGAGAGAGAGAGAGAGAGAGAGAGAGAGAGAGAGAGAGAGAGAGAGAGAGAGAGAGAGAGAGAGAGAGAGAGAGAGAGAGAGAGAGAGAGAGAGAGAGAGAGAGAGAGAGAGAGAGAGAGAGAGAGAGAGAGAGAGAGAGAGAGAGAGAGAGAGAGAGAGATGCGTGTGTGTGTAAGTAAGAAGAGGGAAGAGAGAAGAGGGAAAGATGACGCGATAAACAAAGAGAGAAGGGTACAAAGAGAAGGGTGATGGAGAGAGTAAGGGACAGCAAAGGGGAAAAGAATGATAACAAAGGGAAGGAGAAGGACGACGATGAGTGTGGTGGTATCGAAAAGAGGGTGGGGTATAGATGTGATGAAACAGGTGAGGGGTGAGGATGAGGTTGCTGTGGAAGAGATGAAAGGCGTGGGAGTGGTGGAAGGATGAAAGAGGTGGTGCCCGCAAAAAAAGCACTCAAGTTAGTGACGTCAATGTTTTTATTTCCTTGCAGTATAGGAAATAACATTATTTTGCCACCGCTCCCTCAGCAGTTTTCCTTGTTTCCAACTACTTTCTTTATCGCCTCTCCTTTTTGCCACCATTCCCACAACTTCATCGCCCTTACCAACTCCCTTTACCACCAGCCTCCGCGCCTCTTCCTTTCTCTGTCTCTCCCACGCGCACTCTTCCCACATCTCTTTGCTGTGCTACCCTCCCCACTCTTTTCTTCCATTACCTTTGCCCCCTCTCCCACGCTCTCTCTTCGACTTTGCTTTAGTTTGTTTCTTATTGCCCTTTTCTTTTTCCACACCTTCGTCGCCTTTGCCACCGTTTTCACGCCCTTTCCATCCCTTCTTACTTTTCCTTTTAACCCCTCACCTTCTTTCATCCTTTTCTCTTTTTTTCCCCTCGCCTTCACTGCATCCCGCACCTTCTCCACAACCCTCACTCTGTTTATAACCCTCACTTTTCCCCCTCCACTTACTTTCCATTCATGCTTCACAACACCATGGACAACAACCCTCTGACCCTGTTCTGTCTTGTCGACGGAGAGGCCACCACCAATGCGTTCCCTGTCGAGATCGAGTCAACCAAGACCATCGGCGACCTCAAGAAGCTCATCAAGGCTGAGAAGGCTCCCCGCTTTGACGATGTCGCTGCTGATGAGCTCACCCTCTGGCGCGTCTCCATTCCGGACGACGACGACGACGACGAGATCCCCATTGTGCTTAACAACGTCAACAACAAGGACAAGAAGAAACTCAGGGCGACGCGTGGCCTGTTGGAGGTCTTTCCAGACAAGCCGCCCAAAAACACCATTCATGTCATCGTTCAGCGCCCTCCTCAGGGTAATGCACACACGCGTTTATTGCTTTTTGTGACTTGCTGTTTGCATCGTCGACTCTTGTCCATGCACTAACCTTAAGCACTCCATTTGCACCAACATAGTCCATGCACCTGTTCTTGCTCGAGCCTCTACTCCTCTCTCTGGCTACCTTTCAGATCAATCTCGTCCTGGTGAGTGCACTCACACTGTTTTAAAATTCGAGCTTCTGCATATTTTTTATTGATTCGCTAACATTCTTTTTATCCACTCCTTGATCTTGTAGCAACGCCCATACAACTGAAGATTGTTCCGCAAGATCACATCGAGAAGGAACTAACACTCGTTCTTGAAGGCGTCAACCATCACCATTTCACCGAACCTGTCGATCCAAAGGATGTCGAAACCTCTCAGAGGGAAATACTAGGGCCTTTTTACAAGAGGCCATTACCATATCACGAAACAGCGACAGACACAAGCCTGGTGATGCTGGGACTTGAGCTGGACAAGCAGGCAAGGACGAGCGACGGCGAAACCTTGCATTCTATTGTGGAGGGCGACATCGGCAAATACAGTGACCATCGCGTAGTAGCTATGGTTGCTCCGTCTGGATCAGGAAAGACTGCGACCGTAGTTGACCTCGCGAGCAAGCACTTTGTCATCTATTGTGTTTGTTGCATCCCGAGCCCCACCATCTCTCCCGGCTTCAAGGACCCGAACTTTATCACGCTTGCAGAAGACATTGAGAGCATGTATCGGTCCATTATTCACAGGAATCAAGGGGGTTCGCAGGACGCAAAGGACATCGATTCCGAAGTCAAGGCCCTAGCAGGAGAGCGCGTCAAGCTCGAATTCCTTGCAAGACTGCTCTTCCTGCAACTTCTCCTCCAGAACAAACCTGATTTGGAGCCACAGCAGTTTTTCCGTGAGCAGACGACCGGAGGTGCAGCAACTATTGCCAGGCTTGTCACCAAGTTGCAGGGGTACGACAACCGCGCGATTCGTGACATGCTCCGTGAGACTCAGATCAATCTCCACACACTTCTTGTCCCCAGACGACTTGGGCTAGTGATTGCTCTGGATGAGGCTCAAGTTGCGGCTACTGGAATCTTGTCCGAAAAGCTCATCTCACCATCCGCTTTAATCAAGAACAGAAATGCTCTCTTCGACAGCAAAGAACCATGTGATGGTATTAATTTGGTCCACAGTAGTCCTGGCTATAGATCAAAGGCAACTATGCAAATAAAATCACAATATGTCTTATTCTCTATCTGCTTCCTACTTTCCTGTTGTTCCATTAAAAAAGAGTCAAAAACGGTGGCAACAACATACAAAACCACGACCTGCCTCTTCTCTTTGTTGCTCTCCCTTCATTCTCCGCTCCAGCTCCATAAACCTCCAGCATCATATAAGAACTTTGTCATCACTCTCTATTTACTTTTGCCTCGCGACCAACACACGTCTTTCAAGAAGTCCATTCATTATGGGGAAGATTCCAGCTGGACGGCGCTCTTCTGGAAAGAAGGCACCATCTCCTTCCGAAATACCCCTCATAAAATCGTGGGTGTGCTCGTTCCAAGGTTGCGGACAAAGATACACGGCCCAGTCATCACTCCGTGTGCATCACAACAAAGTCCACGCCCCAAAGACCCGCCCATGTACACACACAACCAAGAACGGAGACAAGTGCTCTGAAAGGTTTCACACACTGGCGCTTCTTGATGCTCACCTCAGAGTCGCTCATTCTCACTTTGTCTGCAAGCACAAAAGCGACTCAGATAAAGTTTGTGGACACACATGCGACAGCAAGGAAGAGCACGACGACCATTTGGATGACGTGCATCGGACTTTTGCGTGCGGAAAGGGCGACTGCAAGGCAAAGTACATGACAAGACGTGTTTGTCATCAGCACCAACGTAGCTGCAAAGGACAAGGCTCAGAGACTGTTGAGACAAAGCTTCCTGCATGTATCAACAAGGCTTCCAACGGTAATTACTACTATATTGCTCTGCAGAAATGTTGCGTGCTCAAATCTAACTTTCTTTTCTGTTTATTCTTCTAGTCTGGTGCATCACGGTGATTGCTGGTATGCAAACTCATCTGGAGAACGTTGTGTTCCTACCTAAAGCATATTTGGACAACGACGGATTCATTAAGGTACTTTATCATACATTTTAAATTTTGTTGGCTTTCAAGTAGACAGCTTACCTCCTTGCAAATCCTTGGCATAGATCGACGGACTAAAAGTTTCTCCTGTCTTGTGGGCGGATACCAAGACCGAACTTACCTATGGTCAAAAACGCGACTACTTGAGGATTGCCGAGAGCGGATACCGTATGGCCGGGAACATACAGAAAGATCAAGGGTGTTCGATCTGTGGAGACGTCATTACTTGGAGAACTGTCGGCACTTCGCTCAGAAAACCTGGTCTTCCTGTTTTTAATCGCCACACTGTCTGCGATACATGTTTTTCCCGCCAAAGGGGAAGGGTATGCGTCGTTTTAGACGCTGAACGCAGTTTGTTCTCCCCTGTATAGGCACTAATAATTGTTTTTTTTTTTTTTTTTTTTTTTTTTTTTTTTTTTTGTCTCATCAGATTGCAGCAGATATCAAAGAAACATATGGAGTGGCGGATAGGAATGTTTCTGAACTTGCGAAACTTCCGGAGCTGCAGGACCTTATCAATGAACTTCTTAGTGACAGATGTTGCGCAAGCTGCGATACAAAGCTTACGAGGGACAACGCAGTCTTCAGAGTTCGCCGCTCGATTCGAGACTCTCGAGATAATCCTCTAGATCTTACAGGACGTTGCAAGACGTGCAAATGTGTTGCAGATGTCGATTTTTCGAGGCAAGTACGATCTTGGGCCTATCGAAAGCGTGCAAAACGACCCGGGGATTATGAGAGCTTGGAAAAAGCCATGATGGCTTATGTCACGACCCTTGCTCGAGGATTCTGTGTCGGGTCCCCTGCCTTCGACCCTGAGGAGTTTGTTGTGCTCCGTGATGAGGCCGCGGTATCCTATTGCAGCTGTTTTTATTGCAGGAATCCGACATGTAACGAGATTGGTGCGGATGCTCGAAAGCGATCTTCGATTGACCGAACACAGTTCAAGGATGGCGTTGCTCTCAATTACAGCCATCCTGACCAAATATTAGTGGTGGCATGTCTACGATGTAATTGGTAAGTTTATTGTCTTTCATCCTTCATGTCTTAATATCAGATATTTCTTTCATAAAGTTTCTAACCTCATTTGATAATAGCTTATTCAGTGATCGAACCATCCAGGAGCGGCGAGACTTTCTTCATGATCTGAAGACAGAGATGCCGAAAGGGACAAAATGGGCAGATGAAGTGATCGAGAGCATCGAGGAAACTGTGATAAACGGTGGATTCGATAAAGCGAGTGTGGAGCAGTGGCCCGAAGACAAGGTCCTACAGAGGAGGTACCAGAAGTTTGAGTACGGCCGGCAGGAACGCGGAAAAGCTGATCGATTGGCCTCCTGGTCGTATGAAAAGTATCGCTATTATTTGCACTTATGCAAAGAACGATCACTCGTCACCGGGATGAAAGTGACCCTGCCAAGAAAACTGGATATTGATCGCAACATCGACACTGACAAGTACGATTTCGATACCATCCTACTCATGGAGAATGAGATCAACGTGGCGAAGAAGAGTATGTCCGAGTTCAAGGACTCATCTGCATTCCGTCTCTCCAAAGAGTCATTCAAGCCAAAGTGGGCGGTCAAGATCTTACGCGCTGATCTATGGAAATTGATCGAGGACACCAACGCAACGAAGGATGGGTAAGTTATAGTGTAATATGGAAACAATCGACAGACTTTCAAAAATGGTATCGCTAACCATTTTTTTCGAGAAGTAGATGGGAACAACAACTGCATGGTATGCGATCAGAACCCCGTCCCAGCTTGGAGGTCGAAGCCGAGTCACCTCTTCTACCGCCGTTTGTGTTACTCGAGGAGCATACCCTCCAAGGTTCTGCTCTTCCACGACAAACCATCAGCCCACTATCATCGTCTATCATAACCAGCCTGCCATCAAACGTCCCATCCGAGATATCTGTTACATCTCGTCACAGCCAAAAATCGATCAAGGATTTTTTTCCATTGACCCCTGCTCATGGAAACTCCGCCATGCGTGCACTGCCCTTGACAGCAGAAATCATTACCCGTGGTCGTCACCCACTGGTGGACATCAGCAACGACGGCAAGGACGTGGCGCAAAAAAACCCTTTGAACTCAAAGCCCTCCCTCAAGCGGCCCAAGCTCCACAAATAATCTCCATTGTCACCACTCTTCCTTGACTTTTTTTTTCTTTGTTATAGCTTACTCGACTCTGTATTACACAAATTTGCTAGCTAGGTCTTGAAAACGAAGATAAACCTCAGTAAACGTAGAAGGTCTTGGACGTTATAATATCAATTGGCGTGAGACGGCATTACACTAATGTAAGGGGACTATAAATTATAGTATCAATCTGTCTGCATGCACGCAAAAGAGAAAGATTATGACTCACTCACTTCCACTGCATTCTTCTCCCACAGCTTAAATCGCTGTGTCAACAAAAGATATTGATCAGGTTCCATTTACAATTCGAAGTATTCGTTTTATGGCCGAGGAACACAACAGCACCTGAGCATCGATGTCCACAGTGCTTTCACTTGTTCGTGTTGCTTTCTTCTGGACCACACTGCAGAGACTGAAAATGAATACAGTCTTTTCCCCGACTAGAGAGAAGGGGAGGGTCTTTATTAAAAAAGGGCCAAATCCAAACCAAGTTTCGTCGTGGCTTTCTCACGCCTTTATCCGCAACGCTGAGCAACATGCAGGCAACCCTAGTGATACTTGGTACAGCACTCTCTTTGCAGGATGCCGATTATGTGTACTCGGCTGTTGGCAAACTCACCAACTTTACAAGAATAACGGACTTCCCACAATTCGACGAGGACGATTGAGCAAGATGCTCTCGGAGCTCGTCGACATGTCAGACTGTGAAATCCCGCCTGCCAAGCGGCGCAGGCTGTCAGGGCGAGCCCGGTTTTCCATTGGTATCATCAACCGCCTCATCGCAACCGGCTCTATCCAGAACTCCAAGCAAGTAACTCTGGAGAACGCCATTAATTACGCAATTGCGCATGTGATGAGTGGACTCCGGAGTGGGATACGCACTATTCTCGAGAGCGACAAAACAGGCGAGGCAGCCCGGCTTCTCTGTCGAATGGTCTTGGCCTATCACCTCCAAGATGCCAGAATATCGTTCTCGAGACACCAGCAGGCCGACTTTGTGGACAAAGCCTTGTGTAGACTGCGACCACATCCTGATGGCATTCATTTGGTGATGGACGAGCTAATGGTGGTTGAGGCGGTGGAGGAGGAGCTAAAGGCTTTAGATAAGGATCCCGAGTTCTCGGAGTATCTGGATCAATTCTACCAGATTGTCGCCAACTTTGGCGTGGCTTCAACGTCAAAGGGGGATGCACTGGAACCACTTGTCCGCCGATCACTTCAGCGCTTCAATGGTCTCCGTCTCGTGGATCTTCCTTTCCTCCAAGGCATCGCCTTGCCCAAATGGTGCGACAATCTCAGGCTTCAAATCGACGGGATCAACACGGCCAATGGATTTGGATATACCGACAGTGGCATTGCCTCCGATCTCGCCTTTCTCACCGACCGTCCTCCGAACAAGATGCTTATTGCCAAGTATGGCACACGTCCGGATGGAGCTTGGTTTTTCTCTGACAAGCAGTACGCCGGCTCTCTTGCAATCAAGTTCTACAGCAGCCCTGTGCCCCGGAAGACGCATAAGGATAATGAGACCTCAAGCGACATTCGAGGTTGCTTCTTACAAAAGGACGGTACTACCTTGAACTCAACCTTGGCAAACATTCGACGCGACTTTGTAGCTTCGGGTACTCCTTCCGACCTCAAGGGTATCCTTCGCATCCACCTCGAGTTCCCTGACGTCCAGTACGGTATGCCAGCTACCCATGTCTTGACAGACCCTGTGACCAGCAACCAGGATGTGATGGTGTATATCAACCTTTCGAACATGGACGATTTTTTCTTTGAGGGCATCTCAGAGCACAAGGACGATATGGTCCGATTGAAAAAGGTCATTGGACTTGTCTGCAAGAAATAAACACCTTTTGACTTGCAATCTTACCTTCACTCCTTTTCATATCTTATGTGATGCTTCTTTATTCGTATCGGCAGCAGAACATGCGATGTTAGCTTTTGATACTTTATTTTTTCAGCTATTCACTCTCGTGTTCCTCACGATTAATCATAGCTAATTTAACATCGTAAGACAGCGAAGGCAAGCGCGGAGAAACATATTCAACGGCTCGTCAACAACATGCGCAATCAATACACCCGGACTCAGGAGGAGGTTAAAACAACACTACGGCTAAATCTGCACTCATTCAGCAACATGACACTTATGTCCGATATGAATTATAATGAGCAGTTGGCGGTAAAAGACACGTAGGAACAAATGAAGTCCTACTGCAAGGTGGCGCACAAACGGATTGTGGATGTATTACTTTCACAAACCATTGAGCGCCATTTGGTCAAGAGTGTCCAACTTTATTTTGACATACTGATCGCCGTGGACGACAAAAAATCAGCCGTCTTATCGAGTCACCAGCAAAGCAGGCGCGACGCAAAGAATTGAATCACAAGGTGGATGTATTGAGAAGAAGCCTACAGGAGTTTTAGTCTACAACCAGGCAAGTGCAATGTAAATGATCAACTTTATGACAGGTCAGTTTCCAGTTATACATTTCTATTCTACCCACAACGACTCCTTACTTATAGCTATTGTTTGTTTGTCTTTCATGGCTTTAGTCCTCTTGTCATACGCAGTCATTAAATTGGCATTCATCTATAAGTTTATAGTTCACAGTCAGCCTTCTTTTTTTCATTTGATGTGGCAGTAGCTGGAATTTTTTTTACAGCAAATAACATATTACTCGATCCACCGTTAGCATCATTTTATGTCTCACTTTGTGCCTGGTTCTTTTTGTGAGTATGTTTGTTCCTGTCATCATTTAAGCTTTCACTCTTTCCTTTTTAAATTTTTGGGTAGAGAATTATCACTTCATGATATCTCTACTTAGTCAGAAAAAGGAAATGATGAAAACTTTAAATCTCGAATGCAAGAAAATATTTCCCTAAGGGTATAATAACTGGCTTGTGGCAGCCAAGCGTTCATAGCGACGTTGCTTTTTGATCCTTCGATGTCGGCTCTTCCTATCATACTGAAGCAGAATTCAGTAAGCGTTGGATTGTTCACCCACTAATAGGGAACGTGAGCTGGGTTTAGACCGTCGTGAGACAGGTTAGTTTTACCCTACTGATGAAATGTTGTTGCAATAGTAATTGAACTTAGTACGAGAGGAACCGTTCATTCGGATAATTGGTATTTGGGCCTGCCTGAGCAGGCAATGGCCCGAAGCTATCATCCGTTGGGTTATGGCTGAACGCCTCTAAGTCAGAACCCGTGCTAGAACGCGACGATTACCGCCTTTTCCGATTTTTAGTTGAATACGAATAGATCCTCGGATCCTGAATCATACTACGTGGGGTTATCTTGCAGAGCGGAAAGGCTTTGTGAGGTTCCTGCTAATGTTAATTTCAAATATTGGAAGAGATAAATCCATTGCAGACGACTTTAATTGAACGGGGTATTGTAAGCAGTAGAGTAGCCTTGTTGCTACGATCTGCTGAGATTAAGCCCATTGTTCTATAGATTTGTTCGAAAGAACAACATCTCCTCTCTCTCTTCTTTTTTTTCTTTTTTTTTTTCTTCTTTCAGTTGCTTAACTTAAGGGCATTATATTAGTTTTTTTTGAGAAAACTTGTACCTTTTCACCCCCCCCTTTTTTTTACACGGCCCGCACACGCACTTGCTCATTTTTTTTACACGCCCCTGCTCATCCTTTTTTCTGCCCGCACTTGATATTGACCCTCCCACACCACACATATGGTGGGCGATATAATACCATAGCCCCAAGTTGGACTTTACTCTCTTAGACTTTTGTCTCTCCCCGCACTAGTTGCGGACCCACCCATACATATGGTGAGCGATAATCACATATCTCTAAGCTACGGCCATACACAACTAAACCCACCGCATCCCGTCCGATCTGCGAAGTTAAACAGTCGATGGCAGAGTCAGTACTATGGTGGGGGACCACATGGGAATACTCTGTGCTGTAGTTTTTTTTTCTTTTTTCTTTTTTTTTTTGAGTTTGATTTTTGTTTTACACTCCGCACTCCGGTCCACTCTTACATATAGTGGGTGAGAATCCCATATCTCTGTGGGGGCCTCGAGCAACGTCTGCAGGAGATACCACGCAGTCTCAACTAGACTGGCAAAGAAGTGGGGGAAGAGGAAGAGGAAGAGGAAGTGATCTCAACTAGATCACGCTCAGGGACGACAGGGGAATGAATGCGGATCTTCGGCGCAAAAAGGGGACAACGGGTTCGAGGTTCTCAACCTAGAATGGTATGATTAACAGTGGGGGGAAGATGTTTATTTAGTGGCTGTTCGGACAACGAGAACAGCCGTTGACAGGGGAGGGGGAGAGGAACTTACCTAGAATGGTATGATTAACAGTGGGGGGAAGATACTGTTCAATCATCCATTCCAGGTGTCCTTTTATACTATCTGACTAAGGTCGCTAAACTACTACTTGTGGGGTCACTGAATGAAAGAGAATAAGATGAAGACGTAAAAAAAGAGATGGCCCGGGGGAGCTACTACTAACTGGTGTAAGAGTTAACAACTTGATGAACAACGAAAGGAAGTAGGAAGGGGCCATCAACAACAAAGAAAGGGCCTTTGACAAAGAGGGTCTTTGTCAAAGGGATGAACAACATAAAAGACAAGAAGAGGAAATAATAAAAGTGACTCGGGGCGATGGCTCCTTGTGTCACTGGGTGTTGAGAGCGAGCGGGGCGACGATAGTTGTCATCAACAAAGGGGAAAGGTGTAAACGAAAGTGTAAAAGAGGTAGGAGTCGCGTTTGCGGGTAAAAGGGAAAACGCAAACAAAGAGAGCAAAAAAGAAGGGAAAGGAAGGAAAGTAGTGGGAAAGAAGAAAAAAGGGAAAGTGGTGAATATAGGGGTGGCAATTCACGACACTCCCCAACTTAAATTGGAGCCGTCCCGGCGACTAAGCTAGTGCGGTGCATTCGTGGAGGCAGTAGGCGGGGACGCTCGGAGAAGACGACTGTTGAGGGGGGAGCTGCATCATTTGCAGCTGCTGGTTACGACGGAAGCGGCGAGTGGGAGGAACTCTTGTCAGTTCTTCTCTGTAAACTCGTGCTGCGTCAGCGGCGGATCCCATCATGGGCGCTTGATAGTCGGGACCGCGGCGGATGTGATACTCTTCGGTGGCGCGCTGCTGCGTGCGCATGTCGGCTACGCGACGGCTTTCGGTATCCGAGAGGAAATCGTCAGGCAGCCCATCATCATCGTTGTCGCGGGCGGCCTCCATAGTGTGTTTGGTCCTGGCAAACCACACTTTTCGCTGAGCCTCATCGCTAGGGGCTGTTGCGATCTTCAGACGGTCTTGGTGCACCAAATCCTCCTTGGGCGTACCATCTCCCCAACGGAGCTGATAGGTGGACAGTGGCGTAACGCGAACCACTTCTAGGGGACCATACCAGTGGGGTTGCAGCTTCTTGCGACCATAATTCTTGACGAAGACGAAATCACCGACTGCGAACTTCGCATCCTCGACGACGTGCGACTCTGCGTGTGCTTTGACCATGGATGACGCTGCATCTTGCTGCGTCTGAAGGTGGGCTTCTCGGAGTTCGTCAATCTCCTTAAACGTCTTTCTGCGATGTTCCAAAAAATCGCTCGGATCGGAGAAATCAAACAGAAAGGGACGGACGGGGTCTTGAGGGATACGCGGTTCAATACCGTATACCAACTTGAAGGGGGAGAGCTGAGTGCGCTGTGAGATGTGCACACGACAAGCAAAGAGGGACTGGTGCAGGTACTGGTCCCAGCGGACGCGATGAGTACCGACATACTTGTTGAGCATATGTCCGATAACACCATTAAGGCGCTCGCATTTGCCATTGGATCGGGGGTGGTAGGCGGAGGTAGCCATGTGCTTGATGTTCAGCTTCTGGAGATAGCGCTGCAGAACGTCAGACATAAAGTTGGCGCCTCGGTCGCTAACAATCTCGGAGGGACAACCAAACTGAAGGAAGATTTCCTCATACAGGAAAATGGCGACTGCTTCGGCAGTGGCATCGGGAAGGGCGCGAGCAATTGGCCAGTTGGTTGCGTAGTCGATGGCAGTGACGATCCATCGATTGCCTTGCTTGGTGAGCGGCATGCGTCCTATGAAATCGATTCCCCATCGTTCAAAAGGGCGCGCCGGAGCCAAGGGGTGGAGAGGAGCCACAGATCGGCTTCCAGGCTTCACGAGCTGGCAGGGTTGACATTCTCGAGTCAACATCTTGATATCGGAGCGGAGGGTTGGCCACCACATACGCGTCTTGGCCAAGTTGTAGGTGCCAGACTGTCCAAGATGACCCAGATCGGCGTGCAACTCTGAAAGGCGATCCAAGCGCTCGACATAGGGCACGAAGGGAACTGAGGCTTCTTCAACTAAGCGGAACAATTCACCTTCTTCGATGACGAAAAGAAGAGCTTGATGACGTACAAGCTTCTTGATGGCAGGGTCGGTGTCAGGAGGAAAAGTGCCTGACAATAAAAATTCAGGAACAAGGAGAGGCCAGTCCCAGGTGTCGATGTGTCGAACTTGGTGGGCATTGTTGATCTCGAGACGGGATAAGGCATCGGCGGCGACATTGGTTTTGCCGGGCTTGTACTGGATGGAGAGGTTATAAGGGGCCAGGAACTCGACCCATCGAGTTAATCTCTGGCTGAGATGAGGCTGAGAAAAGATGAACCTCAGGCTGGCGTGATCCGTAAAGACGACGTTCTCGGGTGCTCCCAGCACATACGATCGCCAGGCTCTACAGGCATGTACGATCGCCAACATCTCTCTCTCGTGGACCGGATAGTTTCGTTCAGCAGCTTTAAGCTTGCGGGACTCGTAGGCGACTGGGTGTCTCTTGCCGTTTACTTCTTGATACAGCACTCCACCGGTTG